CTACTGTTTATTCTGTGTAATAAAAAAAGAAAAGAAAAAAAATCCTTATATAAAATTTCAATTAGATTATGCATTCAGCATTTTTAATGTTTTCATGGGAATTAATCAACTAACTGAACTTGTCCTAATGGAAAAACAATACTACTTTTAAGCATATCTTCTTCTTGCGAAATTGCTTCACCTTCAAGTGAAACTACTTCTTCTATTTGTGCATCGTTACCCACAAATTTAGCATATTCTTCAAAGAAAGTCACATGTGTATTGAACAACGAGACAAGTATGTACACTAAATAATCAATAATGAGGTGTCGACTTTCAAAGCTGTATTTTCCAACAATAAAAAATGATAATAGTAAATGAAAGCAAATTCTAGGTTATATGATTTACCATATTTGTCAAATGACAAAATGAAATTTGAATGATTGCTCTCATTTCAATTGAAACCCGTAAAGAAAAATCACAATATGCATCTTAAAAAATGATTATACCTTGAAAAAATTTCGATTTTCTATTAATTCCAACACTGGCATCAGCTTGTTCACGATTCGTAGCTTTCAAAATGATTGTCTTGTCAGTTGTTAACTCTACTAATATCAAATCGTTTCTCATTAGAAAAAAAATATTTTGTTAATGATTTTCTTATGCTTTTTCTTGTGCAAATTTCAAATGAAAATATTTTTAGTTTTTCAACATTCGTAAGTTTGGGAGCGATACGTTTGATACATAACTTATATCCTAGATCAATCTGAATTAACTACTGTATTATTCTTCTTGATTCATCATGTACTTTAGCTAATTTTTCTTGTTGACATTGTCCTTTTGATCTGAAAATATAAATAACATCATGACAAACAATTGCGTACGTATTTTTACTTCGATTCAAGGATCTTTTTTTCATAAGACAAATGTGACTATATTATACTGTTATTGATCTCACTAAAGAAATTTCACTTCTTGCAAGTAAGAAGAATACTTGTGTAATGCTTCAAAATAATTTTCAAGTGTCACTTGAGACAATAAAAAGAAGAAACATGATAAATTCTATGAATGATGTTGCATCGATGCATATAGCGGAAATTTTCAGGATTAATTAATTTAACAATCAACGATTGCAATACTTTGAATTTTCAAGCATGGAACATTGGTTTCTGCAGGGACGTTAGTAATTTAGTGTCTCAAAAGAATCAACAACAAAAAAAAGTAGAAAGAAAAAACGTCCAAGACACAATTCATCTGAACAAAATATCAAAAAGGAAAAATAAATACGACCAAAGTTTGATTGATGCATTCTCGAAGGGTTATGCTGGTGACCTCTCGTTGATAGTTTTGTTTTTCATATGCGATATTTTTTCATCATTTCTCTAAAGAGGGTTTTAATTATGTTACACGAATTTCAGTGAACTAATCTTAAAATATGCTCTGTGTAGATCGATGTAATATCATTCGTGAAGTTTGTTTAGATTCTTTCTTTTTGCTCTCTTCGGGGACCACTGGAAATTATCTTGACATACTACGCATATCCTTTTTTTTTCCTTACTGAAGAAAAGGTCAAATTTCTTCAATAAGATCAATGAGTTATAAATTCACTGAAAAATAGTTCGTGATCTTAGTTTATTGCTGCTAAAATATTGCATTCTTTAGGATATTTTTTCAATGATTCCGAATTTTGATGTGAAACTTTGTATATAGACAGACCTTAATGATAATACTTTTTTGCAAATATTTCAAGTCATTCGATTTGCTTTGATCCTCAAATAAGAATATCAATTCTACCTTTTTTATATGAGCGACATACTTGTAACGGACAAAAAAACTGATGCGTTCAATTTATCAAAAACGTTTCATCTAGTAACTCAACTATTGCTGACAGAAAGAAAAGATGAACTAAAAAGTATAAGTTTTATATTAGACTTCCAATATTAAGAGTTTCTTTATGTTTAAACATTGTCACAGTTGCATGATACTAGTAATTAACAAGATCTTGACAACAGAATGGAATCTTTTCTACTAGCTACTGAAACATTCACAAAAAATTGCACTTGTGAAGACCTGTATCTATGCAAACTTGGAAGTCGAAATTCGAAAATCAATTTTTCTGATATTCCCGAGCGCGTCACAACATTCATTTTTAAAAATATCGTAAACATATTGCACTTCATCATTAACATTAGCTGTCTAATTCAATTTCAAAAACAAACCAAAATTTCATTGGCCCCTTCATAGTCAAAGATACATTTTGAGTTCAGACAAAAGTGTGGTTCTCTTTTGTGCACACCCGTGTCCTTCGGGTCGGTGAAAAAGTGACAGCTAACCATAGTCAACTGATGATTCTTTATTATTAGTCCTCTCACCCCCTCTTTCTCACCCCTTAAGTACACTATATAGAATTTATTTTAGAAAACATAAATAATTTTATTATTTATTAATTGATATTTGCATTTGGATAAGCTATTGGACCAATTCTAAATAAAAAAACAGACTATAATTTTATTTTCTATATATTGATACGTACATTTGCATAATCTGTTGGAGCAAACCTAAATACAAAAAAAATAATTCAATTTAACCCTTTGAGTATCAGTTATGACGACGAATTACAAGATTTGAATTATTATCGTCTGGTGCATATCTGAAGAAGACGCATTGAAAAATGAAACTACAACTGTATATTAATGATTTATAGCGAATCGAAAGAAGCTGAATTGATGTATAATTTTTTTTAAAGTTCGAAGAATTCTTCTAAGATCTTGACCGAGCTGAATTTAAACGCAATAAAAAAGACTCCATAAGATGTAGACTATCTAATGCGTGTGTATGGGCACATCAATAACCTAGTCAAAAATAATGGAAAAATAGTATAGATTTTTATTTTACGCACTTATTATAATATCTGTTAACTAATACGTTTGCGATTAATTATTTTTATAAATTATAATAACTAAAAGTAAATAAACAAAACCGTTGATTTACTGTCGGTTTTCATTTAAAAAAAAAGACAACATGAACACAGAGATAAGCATGAATTGTGATGTTGATATAAAAGGTTGATTATGCGACCAAAAGTACTTCTATAAGATTACGCATTCTAAGTCAGACTTTCGATCTTGAATGAGCAAAAAAAAAAATACTTCAGTAAAAAAAGAACGTGTGTATTAGTATTCAAACTTATCGAAAATCAGGAAGATTTTATTTGTAATAAAAATGATACAAACAGCTATCATAAAAAAAACTGACCAATCTCAATTCAATATCATCTATAAATACTTCTCTTCGTGAAGTATTTCTAACAGTAATACAAGATTAAATCGATATTAAATGACTTCAATTTCAAAAATAAATTGTTAACTTCGACAACAAAAAATAAAACAAACACTTCTGTTGAATGATTAATACTCCCCAGTGAATAAAAATAAAAAAGAAGTAACTTTTTATTTTTTGTAGGTAAGATTCAAATTAATCATTTTCATCATTTATTTTCAAAAGAATATCATGACACATGATGTTTTTCACATAAAAGTCGTTGATTAAAATCCCTTTTTCTTTGAAAAACTGAATACAACTTTTGAATCATTTGAAAAACGATTGAAATTAAGTGTCTCAAATGTAAAAATAATGTAATGATTTTTGTTTGTAAAGTAATCAAAACAATATGATGATTCTAGTTCGTCTGAAATTATGAAAACTAAATGAAATGATTTTGATTTCTGTTAAGTAACTAAAACTAAGAAATTTTTGTGATTTAAAAATCTTGATTGTTTGAATGAAGAATAAAACACAAAATCTATTCTAGCTATCTATAAATAAATAATAAATAATTTTTCATTTTGTCTTTTTTCTTTCTAAACTGAAATTTGCTTCATGTCAACAAAACGATCCAATATATTAAGATATATTGCCTAGAGTGAATATATAAAACATGTGAATGTATTTACAGAATAAATTATTAAAGAATTAGATGTAGAACGTGATTTTGATCATGAAAAACGGTTACTTCATTTGATAGTGTGTTAACATGATAACCCAAAAAGTGACAATAAATATGATTTTTATGAAAATGAAGTCCAATTAGTTTTACATCCTACAGTTCTATTAATGCTCTGCATGATTATACATACTTCTCATGTTTCCGTCTAATTACCATCATTTTGATCTTTATAATACTTTGTAATAGGATGTTTCTTTTACAGAAATAGATGCGATAATCTTCTTCATGAAATTTGAATATACTTTCTTATTGTCTGTTACTTTTTTTCGTCTAACAATAATTAGAATATAAAATAACAAATTAGAATATGATTTATTAAATAGGTAACAGAGTATTGAATAAACATTTTATCAAAAGACAAAAATTCAATATTTTTAGCACTTCAAAAGTCTCATACGCTTTTTAGGTAAAAAAGATCAAATGACGCGATGGATGGCAATGTTTATTTTTAACACCATGTTTACTTCAGTATCATTACATATGTTCATTCAAGAGAATACAATTGATTTATTACATAGACGTCTTTCTATATAAATCGGAATCACTAGAAGGCGTTCTTTGTTCGATCTTTATTTTCAAGTGTTTATTGGATAACAATAACAATGACAATTCTGACACAAGAAAATATCATAATAAAATAAAAAATAATAATATTGTTGATAACTCTCTTTTCTTATGTTAATTTAATAAGTTATATAAAGAGTATGTCAGTCGCACTTATCACTTTATATTAGCTATTGAAAATATTCTCTAATTTAATTCACAATTTCTTAAATATAAAAATTCATTTGTATGCATTGAATGTTTTATTGAGCTAATTTAATAACGAGTTTATGAGAAAAAAAAAAAAAAAATGCAGGAAGAGAGCGAGCGAGAGACAGAGAGAGAAAATGAGAAGCAGGAAAAAAATTCTAATAGAGACTCATATATGTTTGTCGATCATTGGTAAAACAGGAACACATCAGAAAAGATAAAAATATTCGTAAGCAGACTTTTTTTTTCTTTAAAACTTATCATGTATCATTATTTATGTTCTCATCCCATTATTATTCTTGCTCTTTTCAATCTTTATTGTTATTCATCACCTATACCATATATTGATCAAGATAAAAAAGAAGAAATATTATCATCAATAGATTCAACTGTACAAGATATATTAAAACCATTAAGTATTAATAAAAATGATCAATTCAATTATTTAAATATATTATGTGCACTTTACGATGATTGTTATGATAAAGATCAACAACAATTTACTCATTCCGATATAAAACCTAAACGTCTTATGTCAAATTTATTTCATGGTATTCCTAAATTCGGCAAACGTGCATTTTCATCAGCATTTTCTGGTATTCCGAAATTTGGCTAAAATAACTTTCTTGTATTTTTGATTATTTAAAAAACAAAGAAGATTAAATATGTTAAAACAAAAAAACATAGAACATTTCTTTCATATATATGTATAATCGTTGTATCTTTATCAATTTGTTTTTTCGAGAGAGAAAAAAAAAAGTTTGTCAAAATAATCGATACAGCGTAGTGTTTAGCAGTATTAAACTCATATTTATGCCAATTATACTTGCAAATATTAATTAGAGAAATATTTTTCATATAAAAAATGACATTGGAGCATTATTTTTTTTTTCTTTTACAAGAATCTCACATGACAACGGAACTTATTTTAGGTTTCTATGTGCAAAACTATGTAGATTTACTTCCGATAATTAAGAATCATAATCATTGTATGTAATTAATTTTTGTCTCGAATGAAAGTTACCTTCTGATTCTAATGATGTTACTATGATATTTACAGTAATGATATCGTTCAATCTCTAGTGATTGTATAAATGAGTATGTTAAGTTTAACGATAATGATTTCAAAAAATGGGAATATTTGGTACATAGAAGATATCATTTAGAACATATAAAAATAGATCATATGAACCATCCTAGTGAATACACTCATCAAATGAATACTAATTGTCAGCATGAGTATTCAAATTACTCGCGAGAGTATTCATAAGATTTTTCTGTATGAATTTACACATAGGTTGTAAAATGAATATTCAATGTAGTAGTACTCGTGTTCATTTTTTTCGCAGAATATTTAACAAACCATATATATATACACCTGAATATAAGGTATCGGAAATGCAAGATTAAAACTGCATTTTTTTCTTCTTCTTTTTTTAATATATGGTTAGATAGATTGTAACAAACTGTTCAAGGATATACGTGATTCCAAGTGTTTGTTATGACTTGTTTTATAGAAGAATTCTCAGTTTTCTCAGATAGCCTGTTTCATTCTGAAAAAAAATATAGGTTAGTTCTTGATAATCGACAAATTTTAAATGTTTTCATTTCCTTTTAATTTCTAAACAATTTTTTTCAAAATTTAGCATAAAACACTCCATCTAAGAAACTCATTTATAAATGACTTTCCTAGATGGAGATTTTTACGCTAAATTTGAAACAAATAGTTTAGAAATTAAAAGGAAATAAAAACATTGAGAATTGGTGGGCGTTATATAATATGTGCTAACACATAAGTGATACATTGTTCTTGTCACATACTTTTCTTTTCATCGTTTTTACTTACATAAACAAATATTCGACTGTCGTTTATATGTGTGCAGTTCGAAATGAAAAATAAAGAAATTTAGATTTCATCTAAAACAGTCGATTATTAAAAATGGACTCGTTTTCCAGAGATTATCAGGAAAAAATGAGATTTTCCTCTTAAAAATCACATGAAAAAGTTAAAAAAAACTTCACACTCTATCTAACTATATAAAGAAAAAAAAGAACAGATAAAACTTCTGCTTCAATTTTTTAATTTTCCGCATCTTAGAAAAATTAATTCAAGTTATGTAATAAAGAAAAACGACTTTTTACTTTTAACTGTTTACTTGTGGAACGAGATGAAATATTTGTTTAAATGTGTTAATAGAAATTTGTTGAAATTTGATTTTCTAAATTTAGATAAAAATTTCTGTAATTAAAATATAAATTTTCAGATTAACTATCAATTCCAATGAGAAATTTTATTTTTATGTTTTTTTTTATAAATTAGATACTAAAAGATTAAAGATAGATATGAATTCTAAAAAAATGACTATTTGATTTTTATCTGTGAAGTAGCCAATAATTTGTAATCAGGCTTTTCTGTTTGACAGAATAGTTAATTTGTTTTCATTTTTCTTCTACTGTATTTTACTGTACTCAATCTGTGTTTAAGTATACGCTTACTTTAAGAAATCCTCATCACTTATGGAAAATAGAGCCCATCGAGTTGATCTCGAACTTGGACCCGACGGGCTCTGATGAAGACAATTAGATATTTCTTTACTGTGGTGTCATGAAAATAATATTTTATTTGTTTTTAAAACATCAAAGAAAAGAATAAAATTTTAAAAGAAAACGTGAAAATTGATTTATTAAGAAAATAAAAAACAAATATGGCATTGTAGGACAAACATGCTTGATTATAATACGAAATTATTGATCATGTAGCCGTACAATGATTTATCCATTACAGAGCTCATGAGAATTTTTTCTATGACAATTTTCTAGAAACTTCGAGAATTCCTTTCCTAATCGGTTATCTTGGCCCTTTGTATGTTTTCTTAAAAATAAATTTTCTTGTTCTTTTTTTTAAATTTTATTCTTTTCTTTGATCTTTTAAGCAATAAAATGGATGTAGGCTCATGAGTATTTTACATATACTACTAGAGTATCAAAGAAAGATTCAGTATTATTGGCGAGTACTTGCATGATGAGTATCTTCTCTAGAAATATATGTATGATAAAATATAGATCTAGATTTGCAGTGTATTCTAATATCATCTTTGCCTCTTAATCCATCAACGGTTTCTGTTCATTGAAAAAAATGCGAATCTCAGTCATAATGCATTCTATACTGGCTGCATGGAAACTTACAATGATCCATTAGAATTTGTGAGTGAAGGCCACAAGAAATTAAATTTATTCAAATCTAACTCTTCTTTTACAACTATAAACAATTTTTATTCTTTTAGTTCAAAGATACTAAACGAAGTACAAGAGTAAAGGTTGTTCATAACTGTTAAGAACTAGCTAGATCAGATAACTTTAATAGCTTATGGACTTATGTCAAAGATTATTCAGATATTAAAAAATTCGATATAATGTAAAATAAAATAAACTTCCGATTTTAACATGTAATTGTCATTGAAGATTTTCTCTAGCATATATTAAAGAAAAAAAAATTTTAGTTAATTGTTTCACATTGTTTAGATATGAATCGGTATACAGAGAAGTTCATGGAGTATACTCAATGAGCACGTATATATTTTCTTTCTTTCCAGAAAACAAAAACAGAAAAAGAACAATTGAATCTGACAAGAAACGTTTGAATGTAAACGCATTATTTTATACATCAAAATTTGTATATTCAATTCTTGAACTTTGTATTTTATGTTCAATTTTATTTTAAAAATAACTTGAATGCACTTGATAACACGATGAGCATTATTATTAATAATTATATTGTGACGGAAGTTGTTTAACCAATGATGAAGAATTATCAATATGATGAAAATGCGGATAAAGATTTGATGTTTTATATGAAAATAAGAAATTATCAGATATACAATCAGTTGCATAGTTTGTATTAGAGGATTCTAAATTATTCGATTGTTGATAATTTTCAAATGTACATTGTGACGTATTAAAAACAATTGGTGAAGATCGCTCTAGAGGAAATTATGAAAAAAAAAAAAAAAAAAAAAAAAAAGATTTTGAAAATACTGTTGGCCTTGTTGAGAAATTTAATATCCTTCATTATTGTTGATTTATCTTTTATTGATTTACGTTTTCGTGTTCGTGTTCGAATGCCATCTTTTTTTAATGTCAATGGTCGATTAATCTATTCAAAAAAAACTATTATTCATAGTATATTAATTTATTATCAAAACAAAGGTAATTAATATAATGCTGCTTTCCTTGTTTTAAACTTCGCTTTCAATAATAGATAAATATAAAATATCAATATGCTATCGAACTATTTTAAATAATTTCATACTTTGACATAAGTATTCAACTAGCATTAATATGAATAATAATCGTGTAAACTTTCTTCAGATGTATCAATACTAGAAATGTCCGAAACCGAATGCTCCTAACGAGGGAAGGTCCCCAGGTGTTATGCTCCGTTTTGAATCGGACATATGCCATTTTGTAGAGCTCAGTGAGACTAGCAAAAGTTTTAAAAGGGTTCTTCCCCATGGGCCTTCGGAGTCGAGTTATGCCCTTTCTACTGAATTTTTGACCATTTTTTCGATATTGAACAGTAAATCAAACAACGAAGTTTTGATCTGAAATTTTGCCCATAGATAGGTCTAATCGTCTTTAGAATATCCTGAAAATTTCAGCTGAAAAGAATGTTCCTTT